GGGAGAGTTGTGAATGACGAGGGTGGTGTGAGTTAGATAAAATAGACTTGGCCCATTTATCACATGAGTCCATGTGCCTGTCAACCAGAATATTAACAAGCTGGCTAATTGGCACGTTGCTTACCCTGCTGACAACCTTTAACATCCTGCGTAATATGTTATAGTCTTTCTTCAGTAGCCCGGGAAAAACTAAGGGGGAACAATAGAGAATAATAGGCAGGATGCAAGAGTTAACGAATTGTAGGAGTAAGGGTTGGGCTCAAAGTGAGAATAATAATAATAATGGTATTAACAATCGACACAATAAGGGAAGGATATATAAATTGAATGAACAAAACGAAAAGTAGGTAGAGACCAAGTATGAGTGGAGATAGATTAACCTACTTTTAAGCCATTGAACATCCGATCCAATGTCCGGCCGATGAATTCTTACTTCTGCCAATTCATGACATAGCGCCACTACTTCAAAGTGTCTTCTGCTTCGATGAGTTACTGTCTCACCTTCAACCTGTTGCACCTTACTGGTTATGGCTTCCCACTAGCACCTCAGGTCACTGCCTGAATAGGACCAGTCGCTAGTGAGCATCACATGAATTTTCAGGTATTGGTTTTTGTAGGGATTTAATTTGATTGGTTGGAGGATTTCATCATGAGCTGACATCAGTTAGAGAATCATTCGAAAACCTGGGAGCATTGGACAGCTGTTTTGTCAGTCTAGTCCGGAATTCTACAACAGTACGCACCCACAGCATGGGGTTCGAATACAGGACTTTCTAGTCACAAGGCGAGCTAGCTCGTAGACCATTAAGCCACTGGGACTCGATCCAATGGCTTTGTAACCAGAAGGTCCTGGTGGTGGATGTATACTGCTGAAAAGTTCCAAACCAGACTGACGAAACGGCTGTCTGGCAGTACTCCCAACTGGTTTTTCAGTGGTTCTCTAACTGATGTCAGCTCATGAGGAAATACTCCAACCTATCAAATAAAATCCCTACAAAAACCAATACTTGAAAATTAACATAATTTAGCACAGAAGGATTAAGATTATGAAAGTTGGACATTATTTGTTTCGCCACTTGATATTTAACTACGACCATAATCACTAGCACTTTAATTTCACTTCATACTATTATTATTTTATGTGTTCACACCCTTGTTTCAACTTCTCCATGGGATATAATTTCTTAAAAACTATATATTTACACGATTTTACAGCTTGATAATAAATTCGTTGTTTAAAAGAATCTCTTCGCCGAATCAATTGTTTTGATTTTCTAAATGTCTTAATCCGAATTTTCCATGAGTATGTCATCTCATACAATGCTATTTGATATGAAGCATGCTTCCAATGGTTTGAAATGATTCGGATCCCTGGGCTGAGTTAAACCCGGCACACTCCACTGATGAGCTTGACCTCAAACGAGAGAAAAAACCGTCCTATATTTAGATGGCGTTGATGTGGTCAGTAAGTACTACTGGTTATTGTGAACAGCATCCAACTACTTATAAAAGTCAATCAGTAGTATGAACTGATATAAGTAGTATAAACTGTCATGAATTAATGTCTGCTTTGTTGATTAATATTTCTATGTTATCCGGAAGATGACATACCATGAACTGAGAAATTTTGATTTCCACAAGAAACTCTAATAAAATTCCCACCTGCTCAAATTGTATAAATTTCTAACTTTTCAATTCTCTTCGGCGATTTCATTCTCAAGAGCTGTACAATCGCATATATATAGATAAGTTTACATGGATACAATTCTTATTCGTTTAACTCCACATAGTAACGAAGGAGATAATAATTTTCAACTTGATATGAAAGTTTGAGGGTATGAATACAGATTACAAGGGGCTGAGGGACAAGATTGAATAGGATTAGAAAACAGTTACAACGTATGCTAAGTTAATATTTCATAACTGGAGAAATAATAATTTTAAAGGCGAATAAAAAGTGACAATTATTTCTTGCAATTTGATATGAATTACAAGAGGCTTAGAACGAATTACAGGTGTGAACAAAATGAGGGTGGAAACAAATTGAAGTCAAAATTTTCAACTTGAAATGTAAGTTAGGAGGTGTGAATATAGATTACAAGAGGCATAGAAACAAAAAATTACACAGGATTAGAATATAATTGTAAAATTGTTATTCTAAACCGATTGCATGTGTGATCAGGAGGAGCATGGAGACAAACTTAAAATAACTGATTTTATAACAAACTAGGTCCACGGTAGTTGTAAAGGCTGGATTAGTTTCTTTTGAACACATAGCTCCGGCTTTTCGATGCATATGGCGAGAGCTTCCGCAGTACAAAGAAGTCGGAAACACATTGACTGCCTTTGGCAGATTTTTGTTTACTTTGTAAAGTTTTTTTTGTTCTCTGTGTGTGTAATTTTCTCTCTTTGTCTTCATTCAATTCATCCCATTTTGTCTTTTCAATTATAAAATCAGTTATTCTAAGTTTGTTTCCATGCTCCACCTGATCACACTTGTAATCCATTTAGAATAACCATTTTACAATTATATCCTAATCCTGTGTAATTCTTTGTTTCTATGCCTCTTGTAATCTACATTCAAACCGCCTAACTTACATTTCAAGTTGAAAATTATTATTTCAATTTGTTTCCACCCTCATTTTGTTCACACCTGTAATTCGTTCTATCCCTGTGTAATTTTTGTTTCGAAGCCTCTTGTAATTCATATCAAGTTGAAAATTATTATCTCCTTCGTTACTATGTGGAATTAAACGAATAAGAATTGTATCCATTTAAACTTATCTATATATATATGCGATTGTACAGCTCTTGAGAATGAAATCGCCGAAAAGATCGCCATCTTTGCTGAACTTCATGTTCTTCTCAATCTAATGTTCCAATGGGTATTTTCCACGATTTTCAATTCTCTTTAAAACGTATCCTTCTTTAACTCAATTAAACTGCCTTCTATCGGGACTAGATATCTACTTTTATGATAATACAACGCAATCGGGTAAACTTGTCCCTATCCCAATACGTAATACAGCTGTAATTGATAAGAATGCAAATTTTCCAAATCAAATTACAACAACCGATCAGAATAGTTTAAATGAAGCATTGGCACTGGGGAATACAGCGTCAGCTGTGTCGATTGAAGCTGCAATACAAGATAAATGGGAGTTGACACGTCGTTTGTTTATGGTGGATAATTTCGCTGGTGTGACATCTTCATCAGCGACACGTAAGTGGTATTATTATTTTTTTGAGAGTGAGTGGGTTTTTATAATCGGTATGATTTGCTTTTATTATGAACTGATCGCAGTTATTTTTTAAAATTTTTGATTATAGCTTGACTCCACACCGTATTTTCGGTACAAGTATGGAATTTTCAGCATGTGATATCGGTAGCCCGAATTTTGTAGGCCGACCATTGATATCAGGTGTGCGTCGGTAGGGGATCCAACTCCGGAATATGTGCATGTTCGGCGGGAGTTCTAACCGCTGTGGAACCGATGCACATTAATGTTGTTAATGGCACTAATTTATTCACTGTTATGTATGCAGCCAAGTGAGGGCTTACGGCGTGTTGTCATCTGAAGTGGTGACGACTAGTGGTGTCCGTCAACGATGCCCATTATCCCCATTTCTATTCAACTTCATCATAGACGTACTAATGGACTTAACTCTAACTCACTTCAGAGACTCAGGGATTGACTTGCTACCAGGGAATAATCTCGTTGACTTAGAATATGCAGACGATATAGTCCTTCTGGGCGAGGATGCTGACAAAATGCAGAGTCTTCTGAACACCTTGAGCTGCCATCTAAGAATGTTTGGCATGCGATTCGCCCCTGTAAAATGTAAGATGATGTTGCAGGATTCGACTACACCGACTCCTAGATTAGAAATAGGAAGTGAAGTGGTAGAGCACGTTGACTGCTTCACTTATTTGGGAAGTACCATCAGCCCCAACGGGTTGATCTCTGACGAAATCTCAGTACGAATACAGAGGGCTAGTTTTGCATATGCCAGTTTACGCCGTCTCTGGCTTAGTAGACGTGACATCCGACTATCGACGAAAGGGCGTTTGTACTGCTCATCAGTCCGACCCGTCCTCCTTTATGGCTGTGAAGGAGACCTAGTCATTGAGAGTGAAAGACATGAAAAGATTAGCTGTCTTTGATCATAGGTGCCTGCGTTCTATCTCCCAAGTGAAGTGGTATAATATGGTGAGCAATATTGAGGTTAGGCGTCGAGTGCTAGTTGGTAAGGAGGGGAAATCGGTTGACGAGACTGTGAAATTACATCAACCGAGATGGTTAGGACATGTGTTACATATTGCCTAGTCATCGCCCTCCTCGAGTGACGGCCAATGTTAGCTGACATAGAGTCAGGTTGGAAAGGAGCTGGCGAGTGGTGATCAAACCACAACCATGGCTGGAGACAATTGGTGATATGGCTCGAAATTGTTCTCAATGGCGCAGATGCATCCACTCCTTGTGACTTATAATATCCAATAAAACTATATTGTTCTTCGTTACTACTATTGCTTTGTCTCTCACCTCTGTTTACTGTCTCTATTTTGCATTTCTTCTACTTTCTTCTCTTGCTTTGTGTGCTACATGGAGGGAGTGTGGCGACTTGAACTGTTGCACATCGGTGCAAAGTTCTATGTTGAAAACCGACCGACCTACCGATGTATATATAACTGTAGAACTTGATGATGATGAATTCATCGAAAAGAATATTCTTTGTTCAATAACCAATCTTTTTAAAAGTTTTTAATGACCGTTTTTAACGAAATATTGATGACCTGACTACAAAAGTTTTGATCACAAAGTGGAGCTAATTACAGAAACAATGAGAGGTGGGCAGTTCTTTGATTATTCTATTTTGAGTCTCCTTAACAGTGTGCATACTTATAGAACTGTATGCCCCCAAAACGATCAGATACGGTCGGCAGGGGGGGTGGACTTTGATCTTTCTCTCGAAATACCCTCATGTGGCAACGCATTGACAGCCTGTTCACTACCTTTACGCGGCTGAAGTGTTCCTCAAAAGGTGAGAAAGAGAGAGAATGCGGATGTTTAGCGCTTACAACCGAAATGGTGGACATCCAGGTCAACCAAGAGGAGATAGAAAACCCTCACATTCTAAACCTATGGTGTAGATGGCCTCCAGAATCAGAAATGATCGAATAACGTACGAACATGTTTTAGACACAGGAAACTATTGGAACGCAGTTCCTGACGCTGCTACACTGCCTTATGGATCAGCCTTCATGTTAAAGGCTCGCTGTGCGGAAGGTGGCCTCCCAAGACAACCACCTGCTTTTAGTCTAAGCGTCCAAGCAGTATTCCAACCCTCGTACTAACTATGAGATTTTGTGCGGCGTTTCTCTTCGTGTCCATAAAATCTGTCAAATTTGCGATCTTTCCTGGTCCTTTCACATCTTTCTAGTTACTAGAAAGATGTTTCGCTTAACGTTCTACGTTAGGAAGTTAAGGCAGTCAGGTATAAAGCAGTCTTTGCTTTCTCAGTTTGTCAACTCTTGTATTCTAACCATCCCTCTTTACTGCTCCTCATAAATCTTTCCTGGACTACTTAAGAAAGACTTTGCTTCGCTGCGTAGGGCACTAAAAGCTGTTAGTAGAGGAAGTGGGATATCCTTAAACCAACTGGTTAATACTATTGTGGATAGACATATAATGTCATGTAAGAAACTAGCGAATACTATATTGTCAGACCCCGAACATCCTCTCTATACGCAGCTCTCTCCTTGCATTTCATCTGGTACAACTAGAAGCTATATGCTAGGACTACCAAGTACAAAACTCCACAATACCTTATCTGGAACAGCTGTTATGTGATGAGAAATCCGTTAGGTATGATACGATCAACTTACCGCGGCACTCTAACAAATAGTTCCCATTAGCTGTTGTTCTCCTTTCTTTGTTACTATTATATTGTTGTTCACATCTTCTATTACACACTAATTTTATATTTCATATTCCTCTGGTGCATTGTTTAAATATGTGAATGCAATGCTTTTCTTTTTTTTATTTCTTTTATTTATCTTTTTTTCTTTTTGTTGTTCTTGCTTCTTATTTTTAAAATCTTATAAAATTTATGAGGTAATTAGATGCAATATTGTAATGCACGCTGAAAATTCCATACCTGTACCACAAATACTCTTTGGAATAAAGCTATTATTATTATAATTTAATAATTCCCATTGTAGCATTAAGAACACAATATTCAGCGAAGAGACTCTTTTCAACAACGAATTCATTATCAAGCTGTACAATCGTATATATATGGTTTTTTTCTAAAAAATTATATCCGGTGAGGGAATGAGGTCAAAGGTGTGAATACATGAAATAATAATAGTATGAAATGCAATTAAAATATTTGTGATTATAATCATAGTTTAATGTCAAGTGGCAAAATAATTAATGTCGTATATAGAATAATACATAAGGTGTATAGATTTTGGAAAGGAATACATAATTATAAGATTAGTAGACGAATATAAAATGTTACACAACATGGTGTGAAATTTGATAAGATAGAATTCAATATTGTAAAAATAAAAATGAATAATTTTGGGTTTACAGTGACAATTGGGACAAGTGGAAACAATTCAGAGTGAGAATAGTAATAATAGTAATGGTAATAATAATAATAATCGTTGTAATAAGGGAAAAGTACATAGAATAACTAAATAAAATAAATAAATCCCTCTAAGGCCAAGGCAGAAGTACATACTTCTTTTGTAGACAAAGGTCTGGCTTAAAGTCATGAATTGCCATGGCCTCCGCTGTCTTTAGAAGTCTGTAACGAAGAAAACGCGGGAAGTTAGCATGGATTCTATATATGATCTTGAAATCATGGTCAGGGTTGACAGAGTGACAGAAGTCGATCAGGTGTTCCAGAATAGAGCTTCGCACACACTTCCTTTCTCCCTTGTAAAACCATGCTGGAATATGTTCTCGTATCCGTGTGGAAATCGTTATCCTCTGGCTACGGCCAATGTACCTTGCTCCACAAGGGCGGGTGAACTGATATACATGCACATGGAGGTAGAGGTAGAGAACAACTTGCGGCTGATGAACGTCATTTGTAATTTCGCTGCAAATAACGTCTTACTGACTGCTTTAGAGAGACAGTTTCTGAGCATATCTGAAGTCTGATGATCACCTTTGAATTACAAGTTCATGAATAAGGTTTCCTTTGGAACTGAGTTGGTGACCAGTTTAGACTGCTTGTCTTTCATATTGCTGTCAATAAATCGGTTAGGGTAACCGTTTTCTGCAAGAGTGGCTTTTAGGAAGTCAAGTTCCGAGTCAACGGAATCATTATTATTAGAAACAAAATCAAACTGTAAGGAATCGAAGTTGTAACTGTCAGTCTCGAAGACTAGTCATTTATTGAGCAGAAGTACAATGAATTATGACATTTAATCTGTGTTTATTCACGACGGAGAGGAGCTCTATATTGCGTAGTCAAGTAGGCTAACTGATGAGGCATATTCTGAACTCTCTTCAAAATAAAAAAACACACACGCTCAAACCGTGAAGCAACACACATTCGCAATATATGGTTGGGGTGGGGGCCTTAGAATTCTTGAAAGCAAATTCATCACTGATCACTAATTGTCGTCGATAATGAATCTTCAACTCTACATTATGAAACTGCATAAAGAAAAGTTTCGGTTCAATCAGTTAACGGGAAAATCTATAATTGAATTAGATAATCCCGATTAGTTTCAAATAAACTTTCTTTTACATCTTTTAATTCTTCTTTCTTTCTTTCTCCGTATCTTCAAAGTGCCTCAATTAGTTCGTTATGCATCAAATATTGAAATAAAAGTAACAACACAAGATTCTTCAACAGATGGACAAATATTTCCACCAATTATCAAAATTGACTATTCAAATTTATACCTAAATGATGATTATGGTAAAGGGAAACAGGTTCCGGTAAGTAGAGATTAAAGATGCTTGTTTTATTTGTATATGAGTAAAATTTGGTCACTGTCGTTGTAGTATGTAATCCCATATTAGTTTGTTTATTAGATATATATCACACACGGAGTGAAACAGCATTATTTACTGGATGACAAAGTTTCAAATATAATCATGTGGTCAATTATAGCTACACCACCTCTAAACTTTCGTTCTATAGTCTTCTCTATTCTCTCCTATTTGTCATAGGGGAAGTAAAATTCTTCGGATGTCCGGGTGGACAGGTGTTGAATCGTTCCTATTACACGTATTTCCACTTGATTAGATAAATAAAGCTTCCGTTATCAATCCTGCTCTCTCCACCTTGTTAATTACGTTAGATTTGAGAACCGTCATCTTATCCCATCCTATTGTATGGTTGTGTGTGATAGTACATAGTGCTATAGCTGCTGAATGATTCTCCGGATTCCTCATCTTATTAGGGTCAACTGACCTAGATTTTGCTGGGTTTTGTGCTCCTGAAGTCATCAGTAGTACTTTCACACAAAGAAGGAACTTCGGAAACTATATGGGGAATTCTTAACAAGGCAGGCAGGAATAAAAGTGGCTGGCATTCAAACCGCCCAACAAACTCAACTGGAAACAAGCTCTGTTGGTTAGAGGATCCTGCCGGTGGAGCCAATTAAACAAAACAATTCGGTTAATCTAATACGCTGCTAGAATGATTGTCGGATACAGTGATCAAACTAGTAGTAGGACGGGGTTAGTCGGTAAGTAGAGATTGAAGATGCTTGTTTCTTGTATATGTGTAAAACTTGGTCACTGTAGTTGTAGTAAGTAATTCCATATTAGTTTGTTTATTAGATGTATCACACACAGTGAGTGAAACAGTATTATCTGCTGGATGACAAAGTTTTGAAAACAATTTATTATTGTTCTCAATCATATGGTCAACTATAGCTACACCACTTCAAAACTTTCGTTTTATAGTTTTCTCTGTTCTTTCCTGTTCTTCGTAGGGGTAGTAGTGTAACAACAGAAGACAAGGGTCAGGCAACAGATCGTTTATTAAGGAAAATCAACACATATTTATAGATTTTAATGTACATTATTGTAGATTATTGTTAGTAGAAAATACAGTCTTTTAATTTGGTTGTTTCCCACAGAAAGTTAACCTTGCATCCTTTGTGGCTGTGTCAAATCATCCGTATGCTAACTGTATCCGCCTACGCAAAGCCTTTGTTCTCATTTTCTCACCTTCAATATTGGGGACATAAACATTGACGTCAATTACTGTCTACCAACTTTGGCTAGCAGCCAGCTCTCACCACAGTAGAATGTCGCATATATCCGTGTGAACAGCTGTTGAATCATTCCTATTACACGTGTTGATCCACAGTTGATTCGATAAATAAAGCTTCCATTGTCAATCTGTCCATCCACCCTGTTACATCAGATTCGAGAACTGCCATTTTATCCCAATCTATTGTATGGTTGTATGTAATTGCAGGTAGTGCCATAGCTGCTGAACTATTCTCCAGATTTCTCATCTTATTCGGGTCAACTAATCTAGATTTTGCTACTAGGTTTTTGTGCTCCGCAATTCTGACTGACTGACCTGGTTCTAATGCTAGTTTGATCTACGTGTATGACCACACAATCATTCAAGCAGGATATTAGATAAACCGAATTGTTTTGTTTAAGGAGCCTCACTGGATCCTTGCACTGACAAAGCTTGTTTCTAATTGAGTTTGTGGGTTTGAATGCCATTTTTATTCATGCCTGTATTTTTAAGAATTCTACGTAAGGAGCATAAAAATCCCGCAAATTTTAGATTAGTTGACCCTTATAAGATACGAAATCTGGAGAACAGATCAGCTATACCACTCACTACATGCAATTACACACAACCATACAATAGGATGGGATAAGATGACAGTTTTTAAATCCAGTGTCACAGGGTGGAGGGAGAGATTGATAACAGAAGCTTTGTTTATCGAATCAACTGCAAACCAACACGTGTAACAGGAATGATTCTACACTTGTCCACCCGGACATCTGGAAAATTCTACTACCCCTATAATGACGAATAGGAAAGAATAAAGAAAACTATAAAACTTATGTTTCGAAATTGTGTGATTATAATTGATATAATTATGAACAATAAGAAATTCTGTTTTAAACTTTGTCATCCAGCAAATAATACTGTTACACTCACTGCGTGATACATCCATCTAATAAACAAATTAATATGGAATTACGTTTTATTACTTCATATGAATCCACGTACATTCATATGTTATGTCAACATTTGTTTATTGCAGTTTCATGCTGATACTACTTGACTAGTTGTGGTTAGCAGTAGTATATAAAATACACATTTCGTCCTGTTTGGGACTCATCGTCCGAGTGTATCAACACCTTAGTGGTGTTCGCAAGTCTTGGTAATAGAACTTGGCCATCGTTTCAAACGTCATGAGTCATAGGGATGTAAATATTGTCAGACGAGGAGTCTTAATATAGCACTAAACATTCTTCGTGAATTTCCTTGCAATACTTCTCCACTAGTTAATCAGTTTCAATCTTCACCTGAAGGGATAATCAGATTGTCCATACAATGGAAAAAAAAACAATATTTCAAGAAAGACAGTACATTTCAAAGGTAGAATATTTTAGAAGTTCCCCATATACATGAGTTTTCTATTGTGAATTGCATGTCAAGGTTGCGTACCATCATTGAAGATATTTCTAAGTGTGGTGGAATGAATCATGAAGCAGGTCGTGGAGGAGAGAGACAGGACAAGAATACATTGGATCGACAAGAAGACTCTAGAAGATTCGGACTTCGTCGATAATTTATGTCTAGTCTCAGACAAATACGAAGACTTGCAGGCATGGGGAAAACCAACAAGTTGGCGGAAGAAGCAGCAAAGAGAGGAAATGAAGTGAACATAGAGAAGACGACAGGGGTGATGAAGATCCCTAAATAACGAATAACATAAACAACAAGCACCTATCACTATCAACGGGAGAAATTTGAAAGAGGCTACTTTTTCCACTTACCTGACCTAGGCAGAATCGTTTCAATAACAGACGGAATATCAAAGGCAGAATAGGAAAAGTAAGGCAGATCTTCATTACGCTGAAATCAATGTGGGAATCTGATGGGTTCAGCAGACCAACAAGATTTTGATTTTCAGCATTTTTACGTCATGGAAAGTAATTCCGACAAGCTGCAATCTTTTATCAACATCTGCTTTCGCTCAATAATGAAGGTCAGATGGTCAGCAAAAATCAATAACAAACAAGGAACTCTGTCAACGAACCAACCAACAACCTGTCGCTCACCAAATATACCGAAGGAAGTCGGGACGGATAGAAGATACAGCAATGAGACCACTGAGTGACATAACTTGTCAAGCGGGCCGTCGAGTGGAACTCGAATGGGAAACAATCAGTTGGGAGTAGAGCTGAAGATGTTATGGAAGAGATCATCTGGGGAAAGAGACGATGTCCCATCGGAAATCGTGGAGGTAGCTAAAGAGGACAGGAGATGTGTTGCTGAAGCCCTATGATCCACTGGGAACTTAAGGAAGTAAGAATAAAATAATATATGTGAGTTGTCTAATCACTTATCCCCCGAAACATTTAAAAGGGACCTAGAGACTGTGGCATATGTGCTCACACCATTATTGCAAAAGGCTTGAAAAGAAGGAAAGATACCTACTGATTTGAAGAAGGGCAACTTACGCCTCACTCTAAAAGAACTGACTGGTGTGGAATTATGCTCTTTTCTACACCAAGTAAAATACTAAATCGCATCATCCTGGAGAGAATAAAAAAGATGCTCTGAATACAGAACTCCGCTAGCCTAGAACAAGCTGGATTCAGAAAAAGCAAGTCGTGTGCTGATCAAATTGCAACTCAATGTATCGTCATTGAACAAGGCATAGAATCGCAGTCAAACTTCTCTCTACCTCAATTTCATCGATTTTTAAGAGACCTTCGACAGATAGTGTTGATCGGTATGTAATTTGGTAACTTCTTCAACACACCAGCTACCCTGACTGGAAGGAACGTTCCTGTGGAAAGATTTCCTAAGTAGCAGTTAGACTTAAAGGAATCATTACATTATGTTGCAGGTTTAACAGTGAAGACACTCTGCTGAACAAACAGTAAAGTGTTTCTCACAGACGAACAGTTTTTAAACTAATCTGCCTCTACACGCTGAGGAGGAAGTTAAGGAAGACCAGCCTCAAGAACTGTACATCTTGACTCACTCTAAGTAGGTGTGTTACTGGTGGTTGGGTATTAACATGGATAAAACTCTAGGAACTACTTCAGATAGATCTTGTGTGACTAACCACAAGCAGTTGTTCTGTGTCCTGTGGTTACGTAACACCAATTTTCTTCATATTTCAACTGTGTTCTTGATTGGTCCAAAACTGGTGTGACGACTGCTTTCTTAAAATTTGCCTTGCCCCTTCATTATTCTAACAAAAGTTATTAACCAATCAGATCACAAATACTTTGACTAGAAAATATGAACCAATTAAATTCAGTTAAGATCTATACACACACAGAAGAGCCAATCAGATCGCTTCCAGATGAATCAATACCCTGTAAACGATTATCAAGAGTCAGTCTACTTCAGTTTAGTGTAAAACATCACTAACTTTGCTATCTAGCTTGACAAAAAAACGTCTACTGAACTGAATTTTTTAAATGGCTTATTAATTAATCATCGTCAGAATTATTCCATATTTTTATCTAACTGTTTACCCATTTAGATAACCTTCTCAGTTACATATGCAAGTTCTATAGCTAAACAAGCCGCTTTTGATCAAGCTTTACGTATTGCAATGGGTGTAATGTCCACGCTGGCTGCATGTTATGCCATGATACGTACATGGATATGGTCACGTCGAGCTGGTGTATTACGTTTAGATGCTATGCTGATTATCAAGTTATTACTGTATGCTGCTGGAAATATTGCCAATGCTTTCCTTATCGTTATCTACTTTGTTTCAATTTATTTTTTAATATTTTATAAGGTGAGTTAAAGGTATTTCTGTAATTTAGACTTATAATAGAGAAGATTTGTAGTTCAGGTGGATAATTTGCAGTTAGTTGTGTTCTCTGATCTATGTGGTTTGATTGCGGAGCTTTCATCGTCCTTCTGGACAACATCTTCCTTCAGTGCAAGTTTTCGCATAAAATGAACTGATTAACAAATATATCAATATAGAGGAAATTTACCAACTAATAAAATGTAAATCACACCTGACAAGAATGTTCAAATTCCAAGTCAATAAAAAATTATCATTGCAGATGTAAATCGAATACCAGTCACGCAGATGGTCGCTACCAGGAGACACAATTCTATCATTCATGGAGAATTTAAATTAGTTCATTTTATGCTGAAACTTGCGCTGAAGGAAGATGTTGTTGAGAAGAACGATGAAAGCTTCTCAATTAAACTAACCAGCTCAGCTCAGGAACTGGAGCCCCTACTACTGCCCTGACCTTCAGTAGAGACTATAAATTCATGAATTTGTAATATTATCTTTTCTAATTTTTCTGACATTCAGTTTATTGTTATGTTGATGTTATTGAGCCGTAATCTGTTGATATTATTATTGATTCGATGTTATTTAAACAACATTAATATTGTTCATAACACTAATTCATTCATTCATTCATTCATTCATTCACTATAATGTATATATAACTGTAGAGCCTGATGAAGGTGTTATCGAAAAGGGTATTCTTTTTTCAGTATCCATTCCTTTCGAAAAATTTAATGGGCATTTTTAATCAGTTAAAATGATTTTAATTTTTTTTTCATGTATGGAATCAATTAAAACCAAAAATGTTTGCAGTACTCCATGATTTGGTTGAGCCAATAAAGTAAATACTGTTGAGATTAGATGCATAGAGTTCATTGACAGTCTGACTGGTTTCAACGTAGAACTTTGCACAGATGTGCGACAGTTTGAGTCGCCACGCTTCAGTTAGCACACAAAGTAAGCGGAGAAAGTAAAAAGAGATTCAAAATAGAGACAGTAAACAGAGATATGAGGCAAAAAGAATAGTAATGTGGAGGCCCACTATGGTTTTATTGGATATTATAAATCACAAGGAGTGGATGCATCTGAGCCATCGTCGACAACGATGAGTTTGAGTCATGTCACCGATTGTCTCCAGTCTTCATTAGTTTTTACCGTCTCGAGGACCCCAACCAGCCAGTCAGGAAGTTTACACCTTCCTACACGACTGGCAGTCTTAAACTAACTGTTGTGGATTTCAATGACTGATGAAGCCGCATTTTGGTTTGACCACTACTGGTTAACTCTTTTCCAACCTGATCCATTCAATTTTAGCTAACATTGCCCTTCGAGGAAGGCGTTGATGGCTAGGGAGGAATGCGTAATACATGTCCTAACCATCTCAACCTCATTGATTAATTTCTCCTCCTTACCTTACTAACAGTCGATATCTAACCTCAATATTGCTCCCCACTCTATTATACCACTTCACACGGGAGATAGAACGCAGGCACCTATGATCAAAGATAGCTAGCCAGTGTTTTCATGTCTTCCGCTTTCACAGAGGAGGATAGCTTCATCTAATGAAATGGCTAGGATGTGTACTTGGTCCTCAGGTCTCTACTTGCATTGGGCAGCACTCATTTATGTAGAAAGGGTGAGGGTTGGCTATAACAGTCTCTGAAGTTGTTTAGTGTTGCTTTTGGCTATGTGAGATTGTGCATTCTTCCCTGGCTGTAGTTTCATCGCTTGCTTGCGGCTCCGAGTGCAGCGTAAGTGCAAAACTTGTTAGTTCCCATTTGGATTCCACTCAAGCGCCTAGGACGTGATATCAGTCAACGATCTCCTCAGCGTTTGTCCATACCATTTCGATTTCCTCGGCATACTTATTGGGCGATAGGTTCCTGGTATATTCGTTGCCAGAATTCCATGTTTCTTATTCTTTCTGCCCATTTGATCTTCAGGATGGAAGCACCTGTTGATGGAAGTTTGCAGTAGGATGTTGGAAATCCTTTTCATAACGCCCCAATTCTCTAAACCATATACAGGTTTCAATGACACTAAGAAATCATAATAACTGGAAACTTTTGGTTAAGTAACTGAGAGTATTTGAAGGAATGACATTTTACGCAAAATTCATTTAACATATCGATAGTTTGAGATCTGTTTATTGCACCTAATAGGGTAAAACTATGTCACAGAAGCAACATTTTAATCCCTGAACCCCAGTGTCAGGTGGGACACTTGATAATTGAAGTGAAGCATACATTGTTTAAAGTTTTCAGTTTCTAACTCGTTTAACAAGTTCATTCTAAACATTGCATAACAAAAATACCGTTTGGGAACAGATTACATAGTTGTTTTATCGAATTCACATTTGTAAATAAAGCTTTCTAATTCTGTTCAAAATAAGCATCCTTCCTATGTCTCCTATGTAGTCGCTATAGACCAAATGAAATGGCACTGAACTTCTTAACATTTCTACTGTCTTATTTCCCTATCAGCAATAGTAGATGTTAAGAATACCACTGTATTTCGCCTTTTATAATGCTTGTTTGTCTGGATCTATGTCTTCGTTGGTTCTATGATAAAAAGTTGACACTTTCTAGCATAAATGAACTTCTCTTACAATTTGTTGACTCATGTATTCTGTCCATTCTCGGTTATTGTTTGCTGTTATTCTTCCCTGGACTTCTCAAAAAAGACTTTGTCATATTAAGTAGAACACTGAAGGCTGTAAGTAGGGTTAGTGGTATGCCTTTGACTCAACTAACTGACACTGCTGTTGTGGATAGGCACTTGAATTCCTGTAAGCAGTTGCGCACAGTTATCTTGTGTGATACCCAACATCCTCTCTATTTATTCATTTGCAGCTTCTGCCTCCTTTTATCTCTCCGAAAGGAGAAAGCAGAAGAAACCTCATAAGAAGCATTTATGCTCAGACAGCTATTAAATATAAAAGTTCTACAACACCACCAAATTTACACGGGTTTTGTGTGAAGAAAGAGTGAGATGTCAGGAAAGAACTTTTGGACTTTGCATATCGTTAGTGACTGGACTACAATTAGACAAAATAATATAATTTACAAAATACCTTGCAATGACTGCGAGTTAGGGCAACTACATAGATCAAACTAGTAAGTCGGGGGTAGTCCGATTGTCAGAACATAATAATTTAGCCAAGGTAAGAATGGTTGAATCCGAGAAGATAAGTAATTTAGAAAAAAGCTCAGCACTGCACTGCACTGCATGCATTAACACACAAGCACACTATAGGGTGGGAGAGGATTAAAATTCTATGAAGTCATATAGGTAGGCGGAGAGATTGATTACTGAATCCTTGTTCATCGGGTGAATCTACACCCAACACGCGTGCAATAGGAATGACTCATCACTCGTACCGGAAATATGGATAATACTACTACCAATCGTCAGAACAAGCGATGAAAAATATTGGAATTCTATAAACGAAGTTAGAAAGTTGTGTGAGTAGTGCCTTGATATGATTATGAGCATTAATAAATTGTGCTCGAAACGTGGTCATCAGTAAATATTACTTACTGTATAACAACACTGTGTGACTTTATCAAAACAAATTGTACCCATAATGGAATTATACTCTACCACCACAGTGCCCAAGTTTTGTACTTATATCAACAATCAATCAAATGCCTACAAACCAATACCTGAATAACAGGTTCTTATTTGGTGGCTTATCGTATCTGGTCATTTGACATTCATTACCGAACCAGAGAAGGTAAGTGTTGATGACGATGTGCAGCTTGTTGGAAACTCTAGAAACCGGAATCTTTCTTCTCATTCAACATAATGCACAAATGTCCACACAGCTCAGCAATCGATGCGAATCACTGTCTTCAAACTACACGACAAGAAGTTTATTATTATTATTATTGTTTCCTTAGTTCCTAGAGGAACACAGGCTTCAGCCGCACGTCTCCATTGTGTTCCGTTCTGTGCCAAAGTTTTCACCTGGCTCCACGTCTGACCACATGCTTTCATCTCCTCTTCACATGACCTCCTCCTCCATGTCACACTTACACTGGCGACCAACTTGCCGCTTCCCGTTCGGGTTCCACTCGAGTGATGGCCTGTCTTGTGATGTCACTTGATGGTTTCTTCAGAGTATGGCCAATCCACCTACATTTTTTCCTGCTGGGTTGGTTCGTTCAATGCCAGAGATGTCTGTTGCTGATGTATTCTGGCCGGCTATCTGATCTTGAGTAGTATTGAGCGAAGGCAGCTAACTGTTGATGAAGGTCTGTAGTTTGAGGTGCTGTTCATGACGCGCCAAGAAGTTTACCTTTTCGAATAAACAATTTATTTATGCTTAACTAATTTTTTTACTCAATTTTCAATAACAATTATGCCTCCAAATTTATTTATTTATTTGTTTATTTTAGGTACAAAGTGTATATGTTATCAATTTACCAAATTCCGATGATTTTATCTTAAATTATATTGCCGCAGCATTTGCATTGAAATGTGTCGATTTAATACATCTGATAGCTGTTCAATGTACAATGGATATCTTTTTAATCGATTGGGAACCACAAAAATATCATCCTAAAAGTAGTACAACTAATATTAACAATAATGCAGCATCAACTACAGATATGATGACGACTTCTAGAAGTCAATCTTTGAGACGATTCAATGTGGCGAATGGTAATGGCTTCTTGTACATATTCTATTATTATTATTAATTTTATTATTATTATTATTCAAATGAACTGTCGTCAGCATTTGACAGAATAGTTCTAAAATATTTGGGCGCCGAGTGAGAAGTAGACATTTATAAAAAAATTATATTTGTAAAATCTCAGCGATATTGAAATGAGTAATTCCAACGTTTCCTGTGTTTGGCAATCCGGTCCGGACTTCTTCAGGGAAATTAATCGAAATGAACATAACAGAGGTTCATATATATAAAAGGAACATCTCTTGTTTTTAAAAACTTTGTCCAATCATGAGTCATAAAACAACTACGTAATTGGCACAATCATCGTGTTTTCACTCTCCGTTGTCTGCAACAGAATGCATATCCTAAATCCATAGCTGTCGAGTCACCGGACAAGTCCAGTAGGTCGAATAAAGCAGCTCAGTCTTCAGAAAGAAGACAAAGCAATAAGTTCGATAGGGTGCTCTTCAACTAAACTCTAATCCTAAACACCATAATTTTAAAAATACGTCTCATCATAAAATTCTAGATACACTAACAGTTTGAACGGACATGAAGGTGTGATGTGTGTTAGCTGATGCATAGGAAATCCCTATTAATAAATAAAAATGGATATGTATCACTAATTATTAATACTTGGTCAAAATTCTCAACTGTCTATATCGTCTTATGGAGACGTTAAGAAATGTTTTACAACTGTTTACCCACACACACACATACACACTCTGTTTAAAGTGTTTAACAAAGGTAGATCAATATTTGTATGTCCGAGGTCAAATTTTGATCACAGCTCATAAAATTTTGTTTATTATACTTGTTGATACTTGTTGAATGACTCATGATTGGACAAAGTTTTTAAAAACAAGAGATGTCCCCCTTTTTATATATAAACCTCTGTTATGTTAATTTCGATTAATTTCCCTGAAGAAGTTCGGACCAGATTGCCGAACGAAACGTTGGAATTACTTATTTCAATATCGCTGAGATTTTACAAATATAATTTTTTACAGTATTATTATTATTGTCATATACGAGCCACTGGCTTCGTCAACGAGCACTGTGAACTTATTCAGGGTTAGGTTGGAAAAGAGTTAGTCGTGATCAGATCAAAGCCTGGAATCTGTCCACGAAGTGTCTGACAACTGGTTTGATCTATCTGCATATGGTGGTGTAATCTGTCTGGTTGGATTCTTCTGAACTTCAAGAACCAATGTCTTCAAAACGGTTGGTGAAATGCCTCAAATTCGTTCTCAGTAGCCCAGATACATCCACACTCTGTGATCTCGCATATCCTTCACAAGTTTATGTTTTCCCCACGTTACTATTCTTTCTCCCGCACACATATCTGCTTATTGGAGTTCTCATGAATCTCTTATTTCTAATCGTAGAAAATACCCATCGGAACATTAGAGGGAAAAGGACAAGAAGATCAGCAGCAAAGATATCTGTCTTTTCGGCGATTTCATTCTCAAAAGCTATACAATCACCATTTATATACATTACTTTACATGGATACAATTATTATTTATTCAATTCCACACAGTAACGAAGGAGGTAATAATTTTCAACTTGATATGAAAGTTTGAAGGTACGAATATAGATTACAAGGGGTTTAGAGACAAGATTACATAAGAGTAGAAAACAGTTACAACGAATGCTAAATTAATATTTGATAACTGGAGAAATAATTTTAAGGGCGAATAAAAGGTGATAATTATTTTCGTCTTGATATGAATTACAAGAGTCTAAGAAACAAAAGTTACGCAGGGATAGAAAGAATTACAGGTGTGAACAAAATGAGCACGGAAACAAATTGAAATCAAAATTTTCAACTTGAAATGTAAGTTAGGAGGTGTGAATATAGATTACATGAGGCATAGAAACAAAAAATTACACAGGATTAGAATATAAGTGTAAAATAGTTATTCTAAACGGATTACAAGTGTGATCAGTAGGAGCATGGAAAAAAACTTAAAATAACTGATTTTGTAACTGAAAAGACAAAATGGGATGAATTGAATGAAGGTAAAGAGAGAAAATTACACACACAGAGAACAAAACAAAAAACTGAAGGCTGAGGGAACATACCGAACTAGGTTCACGGTAGTTCTAAAAGCTGGACTAGTTTCTTTTGAATACACAGTTCAGGCTTTTCTCCCTTTCCTCTGCGTTTGTTTGGCCTGTGGAGTATGGCAACTTGAACTCCCGCACTTTTTTCAAAGTTCACTGTTGAAACTCAACCACATCAGTCAGTTCATTGCATAATTTGATCCCTTAGGAAGTTTGAAAATCACTACTCATATTGATATTAGTAAGAAGACAAGAAGTTTAGGGATAGGTATGAATTTAATTTGTGGATGGTGGCTAGCAGTGGAATCCAGGATGCGCATTGGATCTACTTGCATTCCCCAGTGAGTGATGATGTTCCCACCACGGAGGTTCGAACCCAGTGCCCATAGTTTCAAATGCCAAAGCGTTATCCACTAGACCACTTGGGCCACGAGAGCCACCCCTTGTGCAACGGGTTATATTAATTTAATTGAATTTTAGATTTTCCCGTCGATTGATTGAACCGAAGTGCTCGGTCTCAGGTTGACATGTCGGCTTCTTATGTAGATGCTTCCACGATGTTTGGGTATTTAATTAGAATTTAACTGGTGGATGGTGACTAGCAGTGTAATCCAGGATGCGCATTTCGTCCTATTTGGGACCCGTCATCACTCACTGGGAAATGCAGGCACATCCAGCTGACGAGTCTGCTGTAAAAAGCAATTCTTATGTGTTTCTGCCTAATACACACAACTGAGTAGTCATACAGCTTTAAGTGATTAATCCCAAGGAACCCACCTTCGTTGAAATTATTTTTATTATTGAATATATTACGCGTCCTTTGGGTTCCTAATGGAACATAGGACATCAGTGGTGCATTGCCATTTCACTCTGTTCTCTGAAGTTGCAGATTAGTTGAACTGACGGTCACTGAGTAGAATCTAGTTGACAGCAAGAGAGAGAATAAGTCTATGCCAGTCCCACTGTCCTACTCCCGTCCTGGTTAGATTATTATGAGAAAGCCTAATCATCAGAGAGTTTATTCTTGATTTAGTTGTATTCTCTGAGCTGAATAGCTAATTTGCAAAGCTGTCATTGGCCCGCCAGACAACATTTTCAGCGCGCATACTTCAAAAGTCAATGTGTTAAAACACACACGTAAACATGTAATAGTCATGTCTTCTTTGTGTTTTTTGTGTCCCCCCGAACAATATAGACGGCATTGATGAATTAGAGGTACGTTATAAACGTGAGCTGAAATCCCCACTACCATCGCATCATATAATAGAAGACACGGGGATATCTGTATGGCGAACGATATACGTGGCTAATGAATGGAATGAAATACAGACACATCGTAAAACAAATTATTTAATCACTTTAACAATTGTGTTGATTCTAATGCAGGTAAATGAGGAATATTAATAGCAATAATAATAATAACTGTACATAACTGTTTATATATGTGCGTAAATATTCTGTATTACTGTGTATATCTTATATGGAACTAGGCATATTGATTTGATAAGTAATACCTCTTGGCTACATTTCAGTTGTTTGTTGAGGGCAGTGGAGGTTTTAATCTCTCACACAAGGTTATTATTATTACCATTGTTTCCTTTAGTTCCTAGAGGAGCATAGGGCTTCAGCCGAACGTCTCAATTGAGTCCGGTTCTCTGCCAACGTTTTCATCACCTGGCTCCACGTCTGCCCATATGTTTTCATCTCCTCTTCACATGATCTCCCTCTTCATGACAACCTCACACTGACGACCAACTCGCCGCTTGCCATTCAGGTTCCACGCGGGAGCCTGTCGTGTGACGTCACTCACTTGATGGTCCACCTCGATTTCTTCCTGCATATCTGTTGCCCAATTAGTTCTTGTTGGGTTGGTTCATTCATTGCCATAGGTCCCTGTTGTTCGTCTTTTCCGGCCGTCTGATCTTGAGTATTGAGCGAAGACAGCTGCTGATGAAGGTGTGTAGTTTGTTCGAAGTGGCCTCCGTGACGAGGCACTAAGTCTCTGACCCGCATAGTAACACTGACTGACTTCCCATTGGGGTTGAAAATCCGGATCTTATTTTTCATTCTAAGTGTTGATCTCCACACAAACTTGAGAGTAATGAAAGCTTGTCTTACTTTCCTGACACTCGCTGCTTTGATATCCTCATCAGTTCCGTCCGCCTGTAGTTGAAACGATGCTTCCCAGGTAGGTAGGTGAAAGAGGATGTTTCTTTCAGGTTCCTCCCATTTATGCTGATTGTTGTCTGTTGTTGTTGTTCTTACCCAGGAATCTTCATCACTTCTGTCTTCTCTATGTTCACCTGACGTGAAGTTCAATCTTTGATGCTTCTTCTTCCAACTTGTTGCTTTTCACTTGCATATCTTCCAGTTTATGGGAAATCAGACATATATCATCGGTGAAATCCAGATCCTCCAAATTTTTTGTGTGGGTCAATTTTATGCCTGTCTCCTCGCTGCTCGGCTCGCTGTCTGTCGCATTATCCAGTCTACCGCGATCAGTAAAATCATTGGAGATAGTAGGCAGCCAACCAGCTTGTCTTACTTCCGTCTTCACTTCGAAGGATTTCGTGAGTTTCCCGTTGTGGATTACTTGGCATGCAGCATTTGTCGTACAACTGTTGGATGAGATGTATAATTGTTGGCGGCACCCGTAGTAGTAGCGTAGTTGTTGTCAAATCACCTCTCGATCGACACTTAAGGTTATCATCTCACTAAATGTGACTTCTCTATTTACTAATATACCTCTGACAAAAACTGTCTACTGTGTATGCGATAGGGTAGACATATGGTTGCCAGCGATCTACCTTAAATAACTCTTATTGAGATGCACTACTATGGCCGGAACTATGACCCATCAGACTACGGGCGAATACTAACTTTAGTGTGATAGCTAATCTGTCCTAATAGCACGTCATTAACAACAACAATAAATATAATACCACTGTGCCGCAAAGACAGAAGAGAAGACTGCTTGTTGGTAACATGAACTAACATCGGTTTAGTGAAGCACTGGAAAACCTGAGAGTACTGGACAGTTTATTCGAGTTAATTTTTTATTTCCCTCAATGATTGATTCTATTTCACAAAAATGTTCGGTGGTTACTGATATTTCAGATCCTAGTACAGCCGTTCTGAATATGTTTGAAGATTAACATAAGGTTATGTGAACGATGGTAATCCTCAGTGGAGTCCAAAATGCGTCATTCCTCCCTTTTTGCATTCATCATCCGGTAACACGATCACTCACTGGAGACACAGGCATATGCAGATGACGACTCCTGAACTGGACGAAATACACATCCTAGATTCCACCACTGGCCATAATAATAGTAATAATAATAATAACTGCGTTTGTTATTTTATATTGTTATCACTAATAAACTCTGTTTGACATGGATGGTTTGTAACTACTTATGTAAGTCATTCAGTAATATATGTCATAAAGTCTTAAAAACATTTTCGATCGTTGACGCACTCTCTAGTCTGTTTAATGCTTAAATTATCGTGATGATTGTTTGATTTCGTTTTTATGTTATGTATTAGGTTGTTGGATTAGAGAATTTAGCTTCAAAAGATGCCAAATCGTACGTCGTCATTAATCCATATGAATATCAAAGTCCACAAAGTCGAATATTCCGTGTAGCTCTTATACTTTCAATATTTGCAGTATCCGGTAAAGTTTATTTGTATTAAATGTTTCTATTTTTTTAAATGTGTTTCTTCTCATAAATCTATTCTTATTCTTATTATCATTTTATTCCTTTACATTCCCAGTGAAACATAGGGTAAGCTAGAACTTTGAAGTCACGGTAGCAGTGGTGTTTATTTTTACGGATGGGGTTTCTAGTCAGCCTCATGCCCACCCCTTCCTTTCTAATAGTCTTATAACTGGATTAGCGAGGTAAGGGAGTGCGTCGACCTAGGGTCGAACCACGGATCGCACCGCTGTGCCACCGACGCACAATTTTATTCTTACTACTACTAGATATTTGAATAAAAATCAGTATAGGATAATCTGCATTCAGAAATAATAATATGAGTATTATTGATCAATTACAATCAGATGGGAAATAAGACGAGTGTTATTATATTCAAAATAAGTAACTTGTTAGAATGTTATGATGTACGTGAATTGAACTGAAATAGAATTTTAAGATTATTTATTATCCTCCTCCGATTTGACTGTCTGGTGTTAGTAACATCTTCCCTATCTCTGGTATTTGCATTGAGTCATTTCTGTTGCATGTGTTGTGTTCGGTGTAGACTCGATGAACCAGGATTCAATAATCAATCTCTTCCTCTCTCTATCCACTTACCTATATTACTTCTTAGAATTTTTACTGTGCTCCACCTTATTGTGCGGTTGTGTGTTAATGCATGCAGTGCTATTGCTGAGCTTTTTCTAAATTACTTATCTTCTCGGGGTCAACCATTCTTACCTTAGCTAAATTCTTATTTTCCGACAATCTGACTACCCCCGACCTACTGATTTGACCGACGTATGTAGTTGATCAAAGCCACAGTCATTGCAAGGTATTTTGTAAATCATATTATTTTATTTAATTGCGTCTACCGGGTCTTTTAGCCTACATGGCTTGTCCTGTCTGAATGAGTTTGTAATTGCTGCTTTATTAATAATCCTACATAGGGTCTCAAACGTTCCTTCCCATATTGATTTTTATCCAAATATCTAATCATCAATTTTACTCATGTATATAAATGAAGGAAAAAAGTTGTGTGAGTAACTTGATACGATTATGAGCAGCAATAGTTTGTTCTCGGAACGTTGTCATCAGTTAATATTACTGTACAGCAGCACTGTGTGATTTATCAAAATAAATTCTTATCCATAACGGAGTTATACTCTACCACATTGCCCAAGTTTAATGCTTACATCAAGATTCTCACACATTCATTTCACAGTAATGAAGATTTGTCTTGCTCTTCTGATTCTGTCTCTGACATCTTGTCCCTAGTTGAGGCGATGCTGCATAAATTATATAAAAGAAAGAATGGGAATGCGATTCTTCCTTTGATATCTACCAAAGAATTAAAAGGAAACGTTATTGGAACAGGCTTCATAATATGAGGAGATAGTAATAGTAATTCAATATTAGATATGCTTATTTTAATAATCACACACATTGGGTGATGCAGTATGAACAACTGGATGACAAGGTTTCCAGTACAAATTATCGCTGCTCATAATCATATCAATTTAGTCACACGGGTTCATAATTTGTCTTACATATATTTTCTCTCCAATCTATCTCGCCAACTTCCCTTTATTGTTTGTTATCACTTTCCATATCTCCTGTATAGGCGTTGAGCTGTGTCATTCCGATTGCATATGTGAGGTGTTGAATCGATAAACAAAGACTCAGTTAGTGATTAACCCCTCTCTCCATCTTACTATATTAACTTCTAATACTCTCACTGTGTCCCACCCGTCCTATTTTGTGATTACATGCAGGTGAATGCAGTGCAGTGCAATGGCTGAGCATTTTTCTAGGTTATTTAACTTAGCAGGGTCAATTATTCTAAGTCTAGCTACAGTTGTATGTTCCAATAATCTAGCTGACCCCGAACTACTAGTTCGATGACGTGTGTAATTGAACTCATAGTCATTACATTGGTGTTTGGTAAATTATATTATTTTTAAAAGAATGGATACTGAAGAAAGAATACTATTTTCGATAACGCCTTCATTGTCAGGTTCTATAGTTATTTAAGCATAATAGTGAATGAATTAGTGTTATGAACAACATTAATGTTGTTTAAATAACATCGAATCAATAATAATAATATCAATGGATTACAGTTCAATAGCATCAACATAACAATAAACTGAATGTCAGAAAAATTAGGAAAGATAATAATACAAATTCATGAATTTATAGTCTCTACTGAAGGCCAGCCAGGGCAGTAGTAGTGGCTGGTTGGACTTGTTTCTTTTGCACACAGAGCACTAGTTGTTTGAAGCGAATCGCAATAGTCTCTGCTGCTTGGAGCATGCGTTACCTCGATGATTTTGGCAATTTATTAGGCACCCAGTAGATGACAGAGAAGGATTCTTCCACTTTGGCTTTGTGGCCGGTTTGTACCAGATGGTCCAATATCGAACTGTTAATGGTTTTCACTACAACTTTACTTAGCCATTGTAGGAGATGTTCCTAATTGGACCTATTGGGTCCTTAAGCCAACAAAGTTGATCTCCAAGAGAGTTGGTTGGTTTAAATGCCACCCTGATTTTAGCGTCATTGAGAATCCTATGTAAGTCCTCTGACGTCCCTTCTTTATACGGGCTACAGAGGATTTGTATTCCATATTATTTTGGTTATTTCTATCACTTCTGTTGCTAGTCTTAGCTCCTCTATGGTTCT